TCTAGTTAACTACAGTTATTTAAACGTCTTTCAACCTTAACTGTGCCAAAAAGTTAATTCATAACTACATGCTGACATTTCATTTACTTGTTTGTAAAATCCTCTATTGACATCAAATCCTCATATCCTATTTTAACTGAACATCCATAATATTTAATACCAAGAATTCCATCCTCCATGCAATATAATTTATTATCATTCTCCCTTCTTTGTAGTTGTATCATATATCATAACATTTTCCCCATATTAATTAACATTTAACTGTATATATTTTATTTTATTTTTTAGTAGTGATAATTATTGTGATTATCACAATATTGTAATATAAAGGTTATTATTTATGTGTAGCCCAAAAATATTTCCAACCTTCCTTTCTCATATCCAATTATTATTTATCATATCAACTCCACATTATATACATTACTATCAATATCAATTATTATTCAGCTATATCTGTTACAAATATGAGTAATTTGCTTTAGCTAATTTTCAATTGTATTCTTCAATCTTCAAAACCAGAGCTTGGAAGTTGCACAAGTCTCAGTAAATTTGTTTACTACGTTAAAGAAATTTAATGGCATTTTAAGTGCCTTAATTGTGTAAAAGTAAACAAAGCATAGAAGCAAGGTTTTATAATCAAACTCAATGTATTTCTAAATATTTCTCATCCATGGGCAATCAATGATTAATTAAGAAATCGTTATTAGTAAATGCATATAAAACATTGAGCATAATCAACATAAAGAATAACATAATAAACATATTAAAATTAAATGTCATTGGAATTTTGAAATGTTATGCATTTCAGGGATATATTTTTTTGCAGCAACCGTATGTATTTGAGACAAAAATATAATAAATTCTTACTTCATTGGCACTTGCAATCAATTTTTTAAAGCCCCAGCCATCTGCTGCCCATCGATCAGCAACTTCTTTGTCTGAACAGATTATGAAGTTATCAAAGTAAATATTTGATGTCATAGACCAGAGTTCTAAACCCATAGCATCAACAGTAGTCATCTGAAAAGGATGAGCATCTTCAAAATAATCAGGATTAGGGATTTTCTGAGGACTCCATATACCCTGAAAGAGAAAAATAGTAGAATTCCTATGAAAGAAGATAAACAATTAATAACCTAATATGACAGACAGAAGGTTGGCAACTGTTCAAAATATGAAGCTTCCTATTATTTCAGAGCAAATACAATAGATACAGATAAAACAAAATATTTTTACATAACCTAACCTCTGGTTCCCATTGACAGATTCATTCCCTAGTATTTTATGCATTGGAAAACTGAGCTTAGTGAATCAATTTAAATAATAAAATATTAACCTGTCTCCAAATTGTATTTGTGGCACAGTATTAATACATTATTTCCCTGTATATTTAGTCCTTTTTTCCTTTCTTTATGGCATAAGTAAGGGGATCAAACTCAGGTGCTTAAATCTGGCCCATAAGGCAGGCCTGGAAATAGCAAAGGATCGGCCAATGGTGCCTTTGCTAGCGAAAAGAACAAATGTGGGGGTTCCCATACCCTGTTTTCACTCTGGATGTCCTCCTGCAGCACTTTGCACTTTTCGACCAAAATGGGGTGCTGAGGGCATGCCTGGACCTCCTCCGGCAGCCCCATTTTAGACGGCAAAGTGCTGCAGGAGGCATCCATCTTGCCCCACCACCGGCCAGCCCATGGGGGAGAACTACAGTGCTGATCTGGCCCTCAAAGTAATCCAGTTTGACACCCCTGGCACAAGCAAACCATGCAGTATAATTAACCACAGCACAAATTCCTAAACTTGATGAAATTGAAAACAATGGTTTATTAGAATTTTTCCCATGATTTTTTTGCACAGCAAAAGAAAGAATAAAGGAAATGAGATACAATCAAAAAATAAGTTGAGGTTTGCTCATCCAAACAAGGCCACTGTCAATTAGTTTAATGATAAGAAATTAATGATAAGAAGAAATATCTCACTGATATAGATAGCTGCTTGTTAAAGTTTTCTGATTTCTATATTTCATCTGAAGCAATAGTGTAATTCATATATCATGGTTTAGGATCCTTTAAAGCAGTGGGTACCAATTTCCATTGTGTTGGAAATGTCAAAAATAAAATTAAATAAACTAGATTTTATAATAATGGGACATTGTGAGATTTTGATTAACCATTTCTCTAGAATATACAGTAATGTCTCTTGTGTTTTCAAATAAGTCTGTACTGATCAGATACTTACACAGATTCCACAACAATTCTTGGAAAACCGCATAAGGGGCAATAAGAATCCGAAGCAGTGCACTAATGACAAACTATGTTTAGTGAGATAAGAATGGTGTCTATTGTAACGGCAGGCATTTATTCAGTTGTGAAAGCATAGAATACCTAAAGGTAAAGGTTCCCTTTGCACATATGTGCTAGTTGTTCCAGACTCTAAGGAGTGGTGCTCATCTCCATTTTAAAGCTGAAGAGCCAGCGCTGTCCAAAGACATCTCCGTGGTCATGTGGCCAGCATGACTAAAAGCTGAAGGCGCACAGAATACTGTTACCTTCCCACAAAAGGTGGTTCCTATTTTTCTACTTGCATTTTTACATGCTTTCAAACTGCTAGGTTGGCAGAAGCTGAGACAAATAACGGGAGCTCACCCCGTTACGCAGCACTAGGGATTCGAACTACCGACAAGCTCAGCGTCTTACCCACTGAGCATAGAATAAATTACCTTAAAAGAGGGCATGGCTGATTAGACATTGGTACAGGAATACAATCTGTTGCAAATATCATATGTATAAAATTGACATCAATCCACAAATAGAATCTAATCTAACCAGTATACCTGTGTTTGAACTTGGCCATTTTAACTTCTGATTTTTCTACCATGCACTGATGACGTGAGATTCAGCATTTTAGTAATGAAACAATTAAAGCAGTCCATTATAATCCCCAACAAAATATATAGTAATCAACACAATATATAACAATTGTTGCTATACCTGATAGTTAGGATTTTCTATCATTGGCGGCTTCCATTTTCCTTTATAGTTTGGATTGTTCATCATGGGGCGTACCCATACCCCACAACCAGGTGCAGCTTCACATTTTGGATTAGGAATTTGTGGAGCTTCCCACACCCCATCCATTTCTTCATCCCTGTAAAAAAGATAAATGTATCCATTCAACAAAAATTGTTTTTAAAAAGGATGGAAATAAGAAAATATGCCTTCTTCCCATTTGTTTAAATAGCTGAAGACAAAACTCAAAAGATAATAAAAAAGGTAAAGATAAAGGTTTTCCTGTCTAGTAGTGTTCAACTCTAATTTGGGCGGTGCTCATCTCTATTTCTTAGCCTAGGGAGCCAGCATTATCCAAAGATATTTCTGTGGTCATGTGGCCAGCATGATTATACACCAAGGGGCATGGAACGCTGTCACCTTCCCTACAAAGTAATGCCTATTTATCTATTTCCATTTGCATGCTTTTGAACTGCTAGATAGGCAGCTTAAAATATAATAATAACAGATAAACTGTCAGTTTCCTCTGGGTTGACATCTTGCACTTAGACTCTTGCATCTTGCTAGCATTTTAGTGTTTTCACTTATTCATTAGGGCAACATATTGAAAGAGACAATGCATATATTTTTCTCATCACTTAAGATTTTTACTTCAGTGAAATGTACAGTGCAATTATTAAATGTTTCAATTATATGTGATCTATGAATCAACAGATCAAATGCTACAGATATGTGTTTAAAATCCAATCCTTGATAGATCAGTTAAAATTATTTCTAATTAGCATATAGTCACATTATCATTTTAAGAAAGCTTGAAATCCCCATTTTTAATCCAATATTTTCTAGTTGATTTTAGAATCCTGCTTGAGATTTCAAGTGGAATTATATTTGACATTAAATTTTGGAGGAATATGCTAGCTTTTCTAGAGTATTGCTTTCTGCCCATAAAATTAGGTAAAGAACACTTCAAGTAAATAAATAAAGGCTTAACGTTGTCTAATACACAATGCTGTTTATTTGATTTATTAATTTTCACACTTTAAAAGATTCAATTTTAAGTTTCTGAACTAAATAATCAGTTTTTTCATATTTAAATACAATATAAAATAAAAGCCAGACAATAGAGCAAAAGATAAACACAATTTAAAATCTTACAGAACCATAAATAAAAGTGTATCTTCAATCTAATCTGTTACAGGAATCAGAGTCTGGTAATAATTTCCAGAATGAGAGACGTACTTACCAATCTTCTGGTTTTTCTGCATTTGGATCTGGAATGTATTCAGGTTCATTATCAAGCCATCCTTCGGGTTTAACAGCATCGGAATCTTCTATTTTTGGAGACTCGTCTTCATTCCTTAAAATTACAAACCAATTTTATCACAAAACACATAAAGGAGTATTACTATTATGGGTACATTTGTTCCTTCAGATGTATTTTTAGATGTTTTTCTATATTTGTATAATAATATTTTATTTATTCCAAATCCTTTTATTGTAGAAGTGAATCAAATATACCAATATTAAACTGCAAATCTTTGCATGTGGACGAACACTTATTGAAGACTGTTAATCTAGGCTTTCTTTATTTTGCTAAAAAGCACTAAGTGAAAGCTTTGGTTGACCAATGATGATAACTAGAGAATACTATTTGTGAGCATAACTGCTGATGATTATGGCATTTAGAATATTGTGGTAAGTAGGTAGGTAGGTAGAAAGGTTAAAAATCCACGTATATGTAAATTAGAGACAGTAGAAAAACATCAAAGGGGGGGGGAGGGAGGAGTTATGTATTCTCTTTACCAGTCATCTGGCTTTACAGCATCAGGATCAGGTATCTTAGCTCGCTCATCCCAGTCTTCAGGTTTCTTATCATTAGGATCTTCTATCTCTTTTGGTGGATTTACAGGTGGAATCACATCTTCTAGGAGATTTCCCTTGCTGACAACTGCTTGGTCAATTAATACTTCAAAAGTGTTATCAGGTTTCAGCACTAAAATATAATAAGTTTTATTGAGCATATAGCCTGAATATTTATTTAGAAAGATTCATTGTAATAGGAATATATTTCCAAATAAATTTGCTTAAAACAAATTTAATCTGAAATCTTGCCTTATAGCTTATATGTGATTATAAAAATTTATTTATTTATTAATTATAATTTGTCAAACAAAAACAAAAACAGGAATAATATAAAAATACAATGACAGGGACGATAGGCATGTTAGTGCGCTTATGCACGCCTCCTCTACGGATCTCTTAAGCATGAAGTGAAGTCCACAGAAGTCAATTTGTGACTATAACTGTGACAATTTGTAGCTGAGACAACTGAATAAGGTAAAACACTCTAGACTGTGACAACTCTATTATAAAAATCATATTTTTTACAAATTTAGAATGATTTACATTGAGTTTAAAGCGGTTGTTTGCACACTTATTATTGCAACTAAAACAGAAAAAATCATTTACACGTAAAACATTACTACATACAATTTTGTGATGCAATATCTAAGTCTGACCGCAAGTGATGCAGTTCCAACTTATCCAAATCAAGAATTTTGAGCCTAGTAGCATAGGGAATTCTATTATGTACAGAAGAGTGCAAAATATTTCTCGTAAAATACTTCTGAACCCACTCGATTGTACTAATGTCAGATATATGGTAGGGATTCCAAACAGTTGAACAGTAGTCTAAAGTTGGTCTAGCATAAGTTTTATAAGATCTAGTTAACAATACAATGTTTCCAGAAAAGAAGCTTCGTAGAATTAAGTTTACAACTCTTAATGCTTTTTTAGCAACAATGTTACAATTAACTTTGGAGCATATTGTCAGAGATAAGTACATCTAGCTCCTTAACAAAGTGAGGGTCGTCTGCTAGATCAATACCTCCTAGCTTATACTTGTTATTCTGATTACGTTTACCAATATGTAAGACAGAGCATTTATTAATCAAAATTTGAAATTGCCAGATGAATGACCATTCAGACACATAGTCAAAATCACTTTGCAAAACAACAGAATTATTTGTAGTATTAAATTATTTTATGTCATTGGCAAAAAGGACACAATTGCTTTTAACTTGATCACATAAATTGTTGAGATAGAGCAAGAAAAGTGTGGGACCTAAAACACTGCCTTGAGGAACACCACTGCTAACTGATGAATAGCAAGTTTCCTATTTTGACTTTCTGCAGTCTATTAGACAAGAACGCAGCAATCCATGTGTGCAAAGGTCCAGAAATGCCATAAGAATTTAATTTCAACAGCAGCTTATCATGTACTACTGTATCAAAAGCCTTACAAAAATCTATGTAAATTGCATCTACACCTTTACCTTGATCAAGACATGTAGTCCAGATATTTTTACAGTGCAAAAGTTGTAAATTACAGGATGAGTTTTTCCTAAAGCTAAACTGTTTGTCGGATAACAAGTTATCCAAGCCATTGTTTCTCAATGGTGAACAAAGGATTGGTTTATGATTGATTCTATAACCTTTCATGTAACACAACACAAAGAAATTGGTCTATAATTTTCAACTGAACTAGGGTCACCATTTTTAAAGATTGGTATAACTATAGCTGATGACCACAGATCAGGCAGTGAACTAATTCAAAACGATACTTCAAAAATTGTACACAAAGGATCAGCTAAGACAGTAGCAAGCTTTTTCAAGAAAATGATCCATCTGGACCTGTGGATATTTGTATTAAATAATAAATTTTCATTTCAAAACTGCCATCTTTGTTCTTTTAAAATATATTGCTTTAAGTTTTATTATACTTCAAAATCAATATCATGCAGTACATTTTTATCCCTATTTATTCAGAAATTATAACATTATGTCAGTTATTGTATATGAAGAATTCTTAGGACTCTATTTTATTTTAAAAGGCAAACAAATTCATATACTAAATAGATATAATCCTCAAAACTTCTAACTTTCTATTAAATTGTCATCTTGTATGATAAAATGCAAAGACATGATTTATGGTTAATATCAGAATGCACCTAGGACAGGGGTCAGAAAACTGTGGCTCTGGAGCCGCATGTGGCTCTTTCCTTCCTCTGCTGAGACTCCGTCACTGGTCGGCGCCACAATTTTGAGATGAGCTTTCGGGGGGAGAGAAGCACAATGTGCCAGGTAGAGACTCTATGGCAAGGGGTTTTCCAGTTGTCTCCACAATTGATAGGGCTTTCAGTTATGACAGGTAGAGGAAAAAGTACGCTACGCTAGGAGGAGACTCTATGGTGGGGGAACTGAACTTCCAGTCAGCTCCAGAATGGAACGGGGGGCTTCCAGTTAGAACCTTTGTGGCTCCCAGTGTTTTCTATGGGAAACAGGTCCAAATGGCTCTTTGAGTGTTTAAGTTTGCTGATCCCTGACCTAGGATAAGCTTCAATTCACTTTAAAGTAATCTTAATCTTAATACAACAACATCATTTAATTTGAGGGGAACAATAAAACATGATTAATGCTGGCAAGTAAACAACTATTATTTTCCTAAAGATTTTTACCAACTTGAAACATAATTGAGAATTATGGGAGTTGTAATGTAACAAATATGTAAGGCATCAGATTGAATAAACCAATGCTTTAGATTTTATGCCATATAAAAACCCTAATTACGAAACAAATTTAAGTAGAATTGTAGGCTTCTGGCACTCTGAATCGTAACATCCTTTTATTTGCAAAATTCCAATACCTATGAGTTCTGTCAAGAGAACATGAGTCCCACTGCTTTCATTAGTAACTCTAAGAAAACATGTCTTCAAGTATAATAATTCCTCTAATTTTCATTATAAAACTGAGGTAAGGAAGCATCTAAAGTTCCCAGTTGTCAGTTGCTTTCCTTTATGCATACAGTACCTGCTTCTATATAGTATTAAGTATAAAAAAGGCAAATGATACTGTTGAACAAAGAGTTCTATTTCCTTTAGGTTTTCTCTGAAGTCTTTGTCCTATTCTTCAAACATTTACTGGACAGTAATATTAAACTGTTACCACAGAAACTGAGTTTCCCAGAATGACTGAAAGAAAAATAATATTTCTTTAAAATGCAGAACATATTCATGTGTTTTAAATATATGCTTGTAAGTATAATAAGTTATAAATATAAGTTAGTAAGTATTTCCACCCTAGCTTATTTTTCTAAATTTAAAAATGCAAAAAAATACCAAGGGTATATAGATGGGTCTTCCTGTCAGTATAAATTTTTTTCAGATCTACATCAGGTCGCTTGGCATGCTTTTCCTCATAATCCCCAGTCTTAGGATGTTTATGTCTGAAGATAAAATGTAGTTTATAGTCTTCTCCACATTTATCTGGCCCAAACATAATTGTGTATGATGTTTTATCATAGAAATATTCCTGTAGGATAAAAATGAACACAATATTTTGTTTGTAAGAAAAATATTCTGCAACAAAAAACATTGGCACTAATTAGAGCTTGATATCTACTTATTTTAAATGACATTTAAAAAAATGTTTTTAGAAATTAGTAGCATTTCTTTACTTGTGATTCATAACAAAAAATGGAAAAGACAATATATAATTGATAATTAAGGTTCAGAATGAGACCTAAAAAGATAATTATTTGACTTTCTGTGCTTGCAGTTGTATAGGAATTTCCTATTGCTAACCTCCTTCTTCCAAAAATAAGACTCTTGCAAGGAAAAAAAAGTGGCTGAAAAACAGCCAAATGTATATAGCAGCAAGCAGAAAATAATACTTCGATCTGGTTCTAGAGATTTAAATCTAATCTTCCAATGAAGGCTTCCAAGGCTCATTGTGTGAGCATAACTCATTCAAAAATGAATAAAACAACACCAAGGTTCTAGTGAGGGAAGAAACTGGTAAAACTAAGACTGAGTCTGAAAATGGGTTGGGTCAGAGAACATAAGCTACAGAAAATTAAATTTCCCCCAGTGCCTCCATTCAAAGAGGGAAGTTGGCCAACATCTTGGAAGGTTGGTGAATGCTTCATTCTCAGTCCGCTTCTTAGAAGGGGGTTGGACTAGAAGACCTCCAAGGTCCCTTCCAACTCTGTCCTATTCTATTCTATTCTATTCTATTCTATTCTATTCTATTCTATTCTATTCTACTCTTCCCAGTTCCATGACCCAGAGGAGAACAAATGGAACTCGTTTCAGGCTTCCTAATGCGGCGGTCCCCAACCTTCCCAGCTTTACAAATTGATGAGGGGGGAGAAGGGATGGTTTCACGCAAATGGTGGGCAAGAGAACGTGCTTGCCCACTGCATGTGCAAATGGAGCAGCATGCGTGTGCTCATCTGCCATTTTCACAGCCCAATTCTGAATGGGCCACAGCCCAGGGGTTGGAGACCTATGTCCTAATGCACATATATATTCAGAGATGCCATACAAGTATAGTACATAAACATAGACAAACAACGGGTCATATTAATACCTAGAAAACATAGATGTCTCTCCCTTACGGCCACCTGTGATAAAATACTGGAAAGAATTTTAGAATCCATGCTTAACATGCTTTATTTTTCTTGTTATAATTATATAACATATCAACAACATGTGGGAATTAATTTATAGATTAATAGATTAATAGATTAAAATTAGAGTTCCTGTATTTTCAAATTCTAACTCAAATTCTACAATAAATGAACCCAAAAGTAAGAAATTTCAGTTAATAACAGATTATTCAAACGTATCTTTGAAGCCCACTCATCTTCAGCCAATGACAATATTTCATCTTAATTATCCTTGTAGAACTATTATAATAATGACATTGGGATAGGCAAGAACAATTACATAAACTTAACTTCTTGGGACACAGGTGGGATATGTTAGATTACTATTTTTTATTTTATTGTGATTTTAAAAGGTTTTTATATTCTGAATCTTTTTACATACAATTTCAAACCTACTGATTGGTATCATTTTCAGATCAAATTTAATTTAGTTTTCTATATTCGTATTACAGTTTTATTTTTTCTTACAAACTACTAAGAATATGACTGAAGGATGAGGAAAAAAATGGCCATAAGCAGCAAATATTCTAATTAATCAAATATATCCTGTTTCCCCAAAAATAAGACCTCCTCAGATAATCAGCCCAATTGGGCTTTTGAACGCATGGTCTAAAATAAGCCCTTCCCTGAAAATATTACAATGCAGCAGCAGCCATGAGGTGACCATGCTCGCCGCCTCCTGCACCTCAAAAGTAATAAGACCTCCACGAAAATAAGGCCAAGCGCTGATTTCGGGAGTCAAAAGAAAGTAAGGCCCTGTCTTATTTTTGGAGAAACATGGTATATATCAGGCTAGTGTATGCAGATTTACTAAAAAGATAATGAAAATTGAAGTATGTAAGTTATTTATCATAGCAAGTGGTGCCTATCTATGTATAAATAGTAATAGTAATAAAAACTGATTGCAAGTACTGAAAGTTTGGAAGTTCTCCTTCCAAATACTGCAACATGATGGATCAAATAATCTCTTGCAGTTATTACGTACCAGATCCAAATCGTCACTTTTGGATAGAAGTTTAACATATGCACCACCACAATCAATGCCATCCTGAAAGTTCACTTCATATCTGCATAACAGAAACACATTAATACTCTTTTGCAGATAAATATTAATTAATTTTCTTTAGCTACCAGTTCCCAGTAAGTTCAGGCACTGTGTCATGCAGTTTTTAGCATCAGTTAGTACATGTTTTTCCCTGTGATTGACCTAAAACATTTTAAATTTGTTTTGAACATTTAAAGTTACATATTAATCTTGTACTCTTTTTATGCCAAAAATAATTACAGTGCATTTTGAAAACCAGATGCTAGAAGTGGAGTGGCATTATTAATATTATTATTATGGCTCATTGCACATTAGATGTTTAAACCGGATTTGGCAATTTTATCCACCTATAAAGTTCTTCTCAAGGACCTGATATAGGCAGATGTTGTTTGGTAGGCAGGAATTGTTGCAGGATATATTATTATTATGGTTGGTTGCACAATCAGTCAGATATTTAGACTGGATTTGACATATTTATCCATCTATTGAGTGTTGTGGTTAACATTATTTCACAAGTAAATATATACTTACTGAACAATTAGTGGTGTATTATCAAAAAGAAATGGCTTTGTTAACTTAGTCGATATTGCATGATGTTTTGCTACTGATTTTAGTACCAATCCTCTATCACCAGGTACCATATTTTCTTTTAATGGTTCTATTTCCCATCTTCCTAAGTGAGATAATACAGCAAGAGAAAAGCAAAAAAGTGAAATTTTACAAACGCAATTATGAAAAGAAATGTGTCTGTCTATCTAAAATAAACTCCAATGAATACAAATATCATGTGCCATCACCCCACCAACTAGACAAAGAGCACCTTTCTTCTAAATCAACAAAGCCTTCCAGAATCCAAAAAGGTATAAGATTGATCATAGATCTGCCCATGATTAGGGCCAAAATTCAATGTCTCTTATATTCAAATTAAGTTACATTTGTTCCAAGACAAAAGACAGATCTTGTGTATTATCTCCCACAAGTGCCAGACCGTAAGTAAATTTTGTCAAATATTATTGTCATGGCAGCCATGAACCTAGAGCTATTTCAGACATACAACCAAGGGGAGGAAAGATTAAGACTCCCAATACTGCCACTTTAGCAATCAGACTGAGAAGCCTTGGCAGGAATGCCGCAGTATAAGAGCAGTCACCCAATTAGTCCTTCTAGTCCCATGATGGCGAACCTATGGCACGCATGCCACAGGGGGCAGGCGGAACCATTTGTTAGGGCACGCAGGGCGCTGCCCTGTCAGCTGACTTTGGCCTTCTTTTAAGGCCATTTTTTGCCCTCCGGAGACTTCCTTGAATCCTCTGGAGTGCGAAAAACTGGCCCTATGGACAAACCGGAAGTTTGGGAACGGACTTCTGGTTTGCTCGTAAGGCCATTTTTCACCCCCCAGCTTCCCTGAAGGCTCTGGAGGGCGAAAAATGGCCCTACAGCCAAACCAGAAATCGTAGGGCCATTTTTCGCCCTCCAGAGCCTTTAGAGAAGCCCTACAAAAAATAGCCCTACAGGTAAAGCAGAAGTAACTTCCAGTTTGTCCGTAGGGCCATTTTTCACGCTCCTCTTTTGGCACACGATCCAAAAAGGATTAGCCACCACTGTTCTAGTCCCAATTTACAAATAAGGAATTGCATTCAGCAATGCCTCTTGATGCCAACATAATCTTACATATGACAAAATTAATCCTTTACCCCCTCAAAACTTGCCTGATCTTAATTTGAAATCTGGATGGGTACATTTATGACAAAGATCCTTTGTTCTCCTCCACCACCCAGGTTTTGAAAATAGAGGCCAGATCAACCCCCTCATCCATAATCAAATCATGGACGAGTAAGGTTTTATTATAGACAGACCTGGCATTAAATAGCAGCAATTCTTAGATTCTAAATTACCTGGAACCTCATTCCCCAGTATGAAAAGTGAGAACTGGAAGGGAGAAAATCATACAAAGATGTCAAACCCACTTACCCCCTAAGTGCATCCCACTCACTCTTTTCTGCCAATTTCTCTTAGCTCATCACAACCAAGTATCATTTTCTACTTCTGGAGAAGCAATGTTAGACTTAAAATGACTCTGCAGGGAGCAAAGCCAATGGCTACAGTAGAAAGAGGAGTTGGTGAAAGGATTGGTTCCTCAGAATTTTTCTTCAGAGCAAGTATGGGCTGGGATTATCCACAAGTGCTCCAAACAGAGGTTCCCCATGAGGAAACCATAAAGCAGCAGTCTTCAATGGGTTTTAGTGCTCTGGGAGTAGGGGGAAAGATCTCACCTAAGTCACAGATCAGCATCTTTAAAAGAACACTGAGTTCACGTATTTCCTCTCTTAACCACCTTAGAAAACTGCTTGTTAATGGCTTTTTAGAAGTTAAGAAACTTGAGAAAATGCAAGTTTCATTACAGCCAGGTGAATTTCCTTCTATCCTTGATGGACAGTTTCACGCATGTTTAAGAACTTTAAAAATAAAAAAATGAATTAACAGAAAAAGAGTGATCAGCATGTTGATTTTGTAAAGTTATAAACAGATTAATGGGATAGATGTATTAAAAACTATTTCCTATAGGTTGTTCAACTTTTTAGAAAAATACGTATGAAGATTTTGAAACTAACTCTAAGAAATCCACCCATGGGAAAGTGTTGATTAAAAAAAACACATATAATAAGAGGGAACTTTGAAAGTTGACTAGAGGAAACCAGGCAGAGCTAAAGATTACAATTAAAAGACAGGCAACCTATTAATATAATGCAGCAATATTATTTGACTGTGGAAGAATTCAAGGATATTTGGGGAAAATGCACTAAGAAATGTGTTTTGTTTGGTACTACAAAAATAGGTTTAAAAGAGGCTATAGAAGAGGTGTAGATTTTATTGGACAAAATAGAGACTGGCGCTAATTTCAACATGGATTTCAAAATAGATTATAAAATGCCAGATTACAAGAATGATACGGAAAAATATGTCACACTGGATCTGCAAATGAAATTGGCCAATATCTTACTAATTAAAGGGAACATACATAGGAATAATAATAATAAATTAGAAGAGTAACTTGGATAGCTTTCTTATGTTGGAATTACAAAAGAGACATGCTAAACTACAATGAAGGAATTTCTGAGTGGAGACAAAATGCATTGTCAGAAGGAACTGTTTTTGCTTAAACTATCTTCTTGTGAGCCCATAAGTATACCATTATGATAAAATGATTGAGAAAAACCAGGAGAAGTGCTACAAGTACAACCTGCCATGGTGCAATCTGTGTAGAATTTTAATTAACAATACAACAAAGAATATACATGAGAAATACTACACATTGAAACAAAATATCCAAATGAACTTGCACAAAGCAATAATTTATTAATAACAATAAGTTGATGTCTTACCATCATACTTTGCAATATTTTCATCTGTATCCTCCTTTTTGGTTTGAGATAAAACCCACCTGTTTAAAAAAAACACAACACAATCAGATCATACAAATTCCTGGAGGCTCAGACTGCCACTTGTCACTCATTTAAAATTTGTTCTGCCTATATGTGGGTAAATTTGAAATAACCGAATTCCTAGGTGCTAGAAAAGTTTATATCAATTCAGATTACAACATTGGGGGCAGGGGGAGTAAATGTTTCTCCTTAATACAAAAGATAATCCCTAACAAGTGAAAATTATGAGAATTAAACTGAAATTGTAATCTTATCACTCAATAACTAGTTTTCAGGGATGATTAAAATTATTTATTTCAATGCATAAAACAATACAAACTGCAATATGCATTCATGATAAAATAATAAAAATTAGAAATTATCCACAAGCAACCATTCCAATTAGCTACAGTAGAGGGAGATATAGGTCACTGGTTTCACTTTCCTGGATTGGAAAAGACCAAGTGCTTTTTAATCGCTTCTATTCTGGAACTGCTTCTATTCAACTCGCAATTAAAAAGAAATAATATAAATCTTAAGAAAGACCGTTGGCTTACCTGAACGGTCACTCTCTGGGCACTGCGAGGAGAGTCCAAGCGTGGGTTAACACAGCCTATCTGCCCTTGGATTGAGTAATATTTTCTTGACCACGCCTCCCTTTGCCTCCCTATGATCAGTTTAAAAACGAAGAGACAACCGTATGGTAAGAGTTCACGGTCAACAACAGAGTGATGCATATGGTTGAAAACCCCCTGGGTGGGTTTGGACTCTCCTCGCAGTGCTCAGAGAACGACCGTTCAGGTAAGCCAACGATCTTTCTCCAGTGCGCTGCTTGGAGAGTCCAAGCGTGGGACATGCCCAAGCTATTGTGTCCCAGGGCGGGCAGAGACCAGAGTCTCTCTTTGCAAAATTCTCCTTCCGAATGAGGCTTTGGCTGAGGCAAAGGTGTCTATTTTGTAGTTCTTTATAAAGGCAGTGGGGGAAGCCCACGTGGCCGCCTGCAGATATCCAGAATAGATGACTGGGTCACCCAGGCTGCTGAGGTAGCTGCGCTCCTAGTAGAGTGTGCAGTGACCTGGCGTGGAGCAGTCTTGCCCTGATGTTCATACGCCAGCTTGATACAGGCGCGCAGCCAACGACCTACAGTGTGAGATGAGACCTTGAAGCCCAGCGACCCAGGGAGGAATGATACGAAGAATGCTTCGGAATGAGAGAATTCCTTAGTTCTCTTTACGTAAATGCAGACAGCACGCCTCACTTCCAACTTATGCCATTCACGCTCCCTAGGGTGAGGAGGACTAGGACAAAAAATAGGCAAAATTATTTCTTGAGCTCTATGGAAATGAGAATTGACTTTAGGGGTAAATGAAGGATCGAGTCTCAATATAACCCTGTCAGTGAGAACCATGCACAGGTCCTCCCTGATGGAGAGAGCCGCCAGCTCGGACACTCTGCGAGCCGACGTGATAGCCACCAGAAAGGCTGTCTTGATGATCAGATGGCGCAAACTTGTCGTACAAAGGGGTTCGAACGGAGGACCCATCAAGGCCCGCAAGACGAACGGAAGGTCCCAGGAGGGGTATCGATGGACCGTCGGTGGGCTGATATTCGCTGCGCCCTTCAGAAAACTTTTAATTTGAGGATGCTGACTCGGAGATCGAGACAAACCTTTGGCCAGGATGGTAGATAATGCTGCAACCTGATGCCTGAGTGTACTGGGCGCCAGTCCCTGGTCCTGACCCTCCTGTAGGAAGTCCAGAGTCTGAGGGACTGAAGACGAGAAGTCTACAATGTCTCTCTCTTTGCACCTAGAGGAAAAGGCAGCCCAGGTTGCATCGTATATTCTGGTGGTGGAGGGTCTCCTGGACGCTTGTATTGTTCATATGACCTTGTCAGAGATGGAGGAGGTCCTCAGGAGGTCCCCCTCAAGTGTTAGACGGCTAGTTGTAGCCACTGGGGGTCCGGGTGACTGATGGCCCCCTGGCTGAGGGAGATTTGATCCTGAGGAATTCGCCACAGTCTCTGAACGGAGAAACTGACAAGGTCTACGTACCAGGATCTCCTGGGCCAGAATGGTGCCACCAGGAGAACCTCTGCCCGTTCCGTCAGGAGTTTGGCCACCACCTGTGGAATGAGAGGAAGAGGGGGGAATGCGTATAATAATCCTTGGGGCCACCCGCACCTTAGCGCATTTGTCCCCTCTGCCAACGGTGAATGGTAGCGGGCGAAGAATTGTGGTAGTTGTGTGTTGGAATGTGTGGCAAATAGGTCTACTTGCGGTTTGCCAAATCTCCTCACGAGCTGTTGGAACAGATGCGGGTGTAGACGCCACTCTGAGTGATCGATGCGCTGCCGGCTCAGCCAGACTGCTTCCCGATTGCTGGTTCTGGAGATGTGATCTGCTCTGAGAGAGATCAGATGTTGCTCCGCCCACCTGCCCAGAGCCTCTGTTTCGACCATGAGTCCCCTGGAATGGGTACTGCCCTGCCTGTTTATGTGGGCTTTCGTTGCCACTGTCTGTCAATAACAGTACATGTCTTCCCTTTATTAGGTGAGCGAAGCGTCGCAGAGCAAGTCGGATTGCCTTCAGTTCTAGCCAGTTTATGCTGTGGGCAGCCTCCCTCTGAGACCACTGACCCTGGGCAAGTTGCCCCTGGCAGTGGGCACCCCACCCCAGAAGGCTGGCATCTGTGGTCACTACGACCCTTTCCGGTTCCTTGAACAGACAGCCTTTCACGATCGTCTTGGACCTCCACCAGGTCAGAGATTGGATGACCTTCTGCAGGAGACGCACGCCCCTGTGGGAATTGCTGGTTTTCGCTCTTTGCATTGGAAGAAGAAACCATTGCAGTTCCCTGGCATGGAGACGGGCCCAGGGAACTACCTTCAGGCAAGAAATCATGATCCCCAAAAGTTGGGACAGTTTGATGATTGGCACCGACCTAGACTGACGGCATTGGTTCACCCTGCTCCTCAGGTTGTTCAGTCGATCTGGAGACAGGAATACCTGGCAGGAGGTCGAATCAATGATGGCGCCCAGGTGCTGGATGTGCGTGGACGGTTGGAGCTGGCTTTTCTCCAGGTTGACCAAGAAGCCATGCTGCTGCAACATCTGGACGGTCAGGAGGACATTTTGCCGAGCCTGCTCTGGTATAACAGAATGTATGATTATGTCGTCTAGATAGCATTCTAGATGGATGGGATGGTTCCGGAGGTGGGCCGCCACTACCGCCAGGATCTTTGTAAAGGTTCTGGGTGCTGACGAGAGACCGAAGGGGAGAGCTTTGTACTGGTAGTGTCTCCCCTCAGAACAGAACCTCAGGAACCTCCTGTGGGCAGCATGGATGGGGACATGTAGGTAGGCTTCTTTTAGATCTATGGAAGTCAATAGACTTTACGCAATCCAGGATGGAGTGGAGGGATTGCATCTTGAACCTCTTGTAAGCCAGATGTTGATTGAGGATTTCAGATCCAAGATGGCCCTCCACCCCCCTGAACTCTTTGGGACCAGGAACAGAATGGAATAGAAGCCCTGCCTTTCCTGGTCCCTTGGGACGGGTTCTATCGCCTCTATCTGGAGAAGATAGAGAATCTCCACTTGCATGAGGTCCCTCTTTACCGGGTTCCTGGGGTAGGGCAATGGATGAACTTCCTCTGGGGAAAGGTCAAAAACTCTAGGACTAGTCCCCCCCGATGGTATTGAGAACCCATAAGACCGAGGTGATCTCCTCCCACCTGTTGGCGTATAATTGGAGCCGACCCCCTATGGGAGGACCCCTGTGATGGTCACTTCCCCCTGCGGAACTGGCGGGAGTTGTTGTTGTTGTTGTTGCCTCAGCGAAATGGCTTCCGAAAGGAAGACTGCTGCTGTCTATTACGGGACCCGAAGGAGGCCCTATCCTGATTCTTATCACCCCCCTGATGGAAGGATCTCTGGTATTGAGGAAGATGAAGATGCCTAAGCAGTGTCCTGGTTTCTAGAGGATTGCTTACGAAAGGAACCAGAGCCCTTGCGCTCGTTCCTATTCAAGGTGGTCGGGAGAATCTTTTGCTTGTCTTTATGACAAATTTATCTAAGGCCTCTCCGAACAACTGCCCTCCCTTGAAATGCCAACTTCCATTTGGCCTTCATCTCAGCCTGCCAGTGCCAGAGCCACAGGAGGTGGCGAGATGTAATATTGGAAGCTAGGGCCCTGGAAACAAACTTCGCTGCATTCAGCGAAGCATCAGCCGAATATTCTATGGCTGTAATGATCTTGGTGAGATTGTGCCGCCACAATCTCAGCCAGAGCAAAGATGCCCTGGTGAAAAAAGATGCAGACGTGGACGCCCTAATGGCCCAGGCGGCCGCCATGTATGTTTTATGGCACGCCTTCTCAGACCTCTTGTCTTCGGCCTTCAGATCTTCTAGAAAGTCGGCAGGTAAGTTTGAATTTGATGTTAAGGACACCACTAGAGCATCCACCTCAGGTAACTTTAAGATGTCTTCCATCCTCCCCTCCATGGAATAAAGGGACTTATCCCCCCTGCTGGGATTGGTCAGGGTGCCGGGCTGGATCCATTGACGCTGAACTACGTCCATAAAGAGGTCGGGCACAGGAATACCTGAACTGCAGGTATTGGTGCTGGGTAAACTGGTTCAAGGAGCTAACATCACAATGATTATTTCATCAATTTTTAGGATATGTATTGTGAATAAAATGGTGGCCGGTGCGCGCACAGCCGCCACCCGCCAAATCTGTCATCAATCGGGGAAAGCGTGCGAAGCGGCCGAAATGGACGCTGCCGTTGCCATGCAAGGCTGAGCACTGCCAAGGTCAGCGAGGCTGCGCTCGCAAGGCCCAAGGATTGCGACAGCAGGGAAATCAAGGAGTCGGGCAAACGCTCGCTCCCCCCCTCGCTCGCCAGCAGAAGCTGAACAAGCGACTCACGCGACCTGCCCCGCTTGCGACTGGCAGGAGACAGGGACCGGCCCATAAACCTCTCAGCAATCCAAATATTGGAATTGATCCGTTTAGAATTATTTTAGAAGGTATGAGTGGTCAAATTAAGTTGGGAAACCCAGTCTATCTGTCTGCACTGGAGACCTCCCAAAACCGTCCTCACAGGCGGACTGAGTTTTTAAACTGATCATAGGGAGGCAAAGGAAGGCGTGGTCAAGAAAATATTACTCAGTCCAAGGGCAGATAGGCTATGTCAACCCACACTTGGACTCTCCAAGCAGCGCACTGGAGAACCGGTCAATGACGTCTTTACATTTTTCCCAATTTCAATTTGTTCAACTTTGGGTCTCTTATACTGTAAAACATGATATGTCCGATTTTTAAACATCCCCAAATAATTACTAATTTTCAGATATAATTATAAATAATCAACATGAAATCATAGGATCATTCACAGAGATGCAGGTCCTGGCAGAGCACTAGAATAAAACTATCATATTCTTCTACATTTACAGCTGATTTTTAAAACAAAAACTTCTGGGCTTACTCAAAAAGCTCAATTTTACATTGCCTGTTTTTGCTGAAATTAATGCACTATTATTTATCAGTGTATATAAATTGTCTTATGGATTCTGAAAGTAGTATAGCTCCTATAAATAGGAGCTTTTCTATTTTTGGATTCAAATGTTTCTTCCTTTAGAGGAAAGAAATACAAAAATATTAATACAGCTTTCTGACCTTTTTAAAACATAAGGACTTTCCTAATGTACTTTTCTAAATAGCAGTTTTTTGACTGTTGATATAAAAATATAAAATTACATGTTTGAATTTTTGCAAGAATAGCTTTCAAGAAAATTATTTATATAATTCCAAGTTTCATGTCATAACTATAAAAAGATGTAGATTTAGAGAATTATTAGTGTTGTTATTATTATATACTTTATTCATTAAACATGAAACAGCTAACTGAACATTCAAAAATGCATTACAAATACCGGTGACTAGTGCTAATGGTTGATACGGTTTGCTGCTATTGTTGTTGTTTTTACTCCATTATTATTCAATTGTTAAATAATAGTAGAACAAAAAAATGTTTATTACAACTGAAAGTAGGTAGTTCATAAGCAATCTATTTTAAAATGCTTTTTAAATGTCAGATATTTACAAAGTGAAAAAATAAACCTAATAGAATTATTTGAGTATTACTGTTGATAAATGTTATAAATGAAAATAATGAGTTAATAAATGAACAGAAATATTTTAAATCAAATGTGATACAATAATCCTTAGGAGCTTATGCTCCCGATACTTGTTTTATTATTGTTCAATTGTTTCCAGTTTTTCATAACCCAACAGTTGTAATTCTGTCAAGATCGTTTGTCAGTAACTACCGTGCTTCCCCGAAAATAAGCCAGGGTCTTATTTTCTTTTTACCCACAAAATATGGCTTGGGCCTTATGAGGGGAGGGTTTATTGTTTTGGGGTTGCCAGATGGCTGCTCTCTTGCGAGCGGGCTCCCAAAGAGCCGGGCACAGCCTCTATGGTTGTGGGCCAGCTGCTGGCAGAGCATACAACCATAGAGCATACACCCAGAGCAGCCACTGCTGGAAGACTCGGTTCGGAAGCCACCAAAAAAGCCATACTGGGATGGAGGTACCCTGGCTCTACAGGGAGAGCTGGGCCAGGGCATCGTGAGCTGCTCGCACAACCCCCTCTCCAGCTGTGCAGAGGCCTTTCCCTGGCATTTCGAAGGCGCCAAGCCATGGGAGCCTGGTGGCGAACAGGCGCTCACGCAACTTGGCGATACCCCTAGGTGAGTGAATGGCGCTGTGCCTGGCTGGAAAGGGGGTTTGCCTGGTGGCTGGTCGTGAGCGTGGTCGCTTCATGGCTGTTGTGTTGCGCTGCTGTGACAGTGCAACACAGCCATTCGTGCATAAGGCTGTGTCCGGCTCTTTGGGAGCCCACTCACAAGAGAGCAGCCGCCCGGCAATTCCCCTCTCCAGCTGGGCACAGCGCTGCTCACCAACCTAGCGGTATCCCGAAGGCGCCAAGCAACACGAACACCGTTGCCTCCCTCCCGGTTCCTGCGGCTTGGCACATTCGGGATACTGCTAGGTTGGTGAGCGGCGCTCTGCCTGGACGGAGGTGGGGGGTTGTCCAGGGGACTTATTTGCAGGGGAGGGGAGTGGAATGGTCTTATTATCAGGACATGTCGTATTTTCGGGGAAACACAGTACTTGAGTTCTAGTAAACATATGCTTGCATAACTAGTGGCAGTATCAAGCTACAATATCTTCTGTTAGCCTCTTTTTTGATTGCCTGTGATTTTTTTTCTAGAAAAAGAGTCCAATCCAGTGAGTTTATTCTAAATTGCTTGGAATTATGTGTCCCAAATAGTTAAGCTTCAGCTTCATTATTAGTGCTTCCAATGAGCAGTGAAGTAACATTGGATGATTTGTTTTTATTTGGGTCCAGTGTATTGTTATTTTCTCCAGATTCACAATTCAAAGCCCTGGATTTTTTATTGTACTGCCTTTCAATACAAATAAATGGAAAAACTAAAGTAGTGCCAGGTTTTGTCTTTCTAGGAATAGCAGCTATGAAGAATTGGGAATGTATTGGGAATTTTATATGAATTTATTGTTTTTCCATTTATTCTCGACATCTGTTTATATATTTTTCTCCTTTCCCTTCCTCATGCCTATCTTTGCATGTAAGTTTTTCTTAACTTTTGAAATTTTTAAAAAATAAACCTCTTATCCTTCCCATTTTATTATTATCTTATGACTGTTTTTTTACAGGTCTGAAGGCTTGGGCAATGGTAAAAAAATGACATTTTAAAATGTTAATTTAATTTTTATTTTTTTAATATTTTTATATTAACACAACTAATGACAATTTGTTGGAGATGAGGACAATGTAACTATGCCAAGGGAAAAAACTAGAGTAAAGACTTAATTGTGCTGTAGTCAAGTAGACTGAGGAATACGCTCAAGAAGCATCCTAGTTTGATTTATATCCATAAATTTTTTATTT